ACCCCTAGCATCCATTAACCGAAACTCACCGGAAACGGGCAGCACACAAACAGGCCTAAGGTCAAATCGACAGCATTTGTGTCCTCTAGAGCGGTCGCCATCAGAAGAACATCCTCGACGGGACGGCACGATTGTCAGTGTCGCGGGACAGTAACTGTCCACTAGAGCAGGGGTTCTCAAACCTCTCCATGAAGTACCCCCAGCACTGCACATTTTGTATGTCTCCCTATATCTGACACACCCACTTCAGGTCTTGCAGTCTCGACTAATGAGCTGATGAGTTGAATCAGGTGTGATAGATGAGGGAGACATACAAAATGTGCAGGGCTGGGGGTACGCCAGGACAGGTTTGAGAACCACTGCATTAGGCTAAATGTATGTTTAAACATTAGACGCCATTGTCTCATTGCACAGGAAAGCAGCCACACATGACACTGAAATTTGCAGATTATACGAGGAAATGGAGCAACAGATGATTAATGAAAAAGATCGAGCAATTCTGAAGGTAAAAACATTATTTTAAACTGTTGCCTGTGCTTTTACATACTGTTCAGAAGTTCGGGGTCAGTAAGATTTTTTAAAAAGAAAAAGAAATGAATACTTTTATTGAGCAAGTGCACATTAAATTGATCAAAAGTGACAGTAAAGACATTCATATCAAAAAAATGTTTTCAAATAAATGCTGTTCTTTTAAACTTTGAACTTTCTATTGATCAAATAATCCTGAAAAAACCATCACAGTTTCCACAAAAATATTTCAACATGTTTGATAATAATGAGTTGCTTCAGCAAAATCATGTGACACCGAAGACTGGAGTGTTGAAAATTCAGCTTTGCCAGTTATTTTAAATCTTAAAGATTTTTCACTATATATTTATTGTATTTTTGATTAAGTAAGTGCAGCATTGGTGAGCATAAGAGACTTCTTTCAAAAACATAAAAATAAAATGACTAACCCCAAACTTTTGAACAGCAGTGTATGTGCAGTTCATATAACTGATATTCTTTAGTCTACTAAGTTTCAAACTATATTACAGTTTGTGCATTTGTTATCACTTGTTCTCGGCTGAGAGAAAATGGGTTGTTTAGATTAAGGCTGTCTGAACTGAAATTGACTAGTATGTTAATTCTTTCTTCCAGGACTCTGAAAATCTGCAGTCACGCAGTCAAGACCTCAAGCAGCGGCTCCGCTGTAAAGAACGGGAATTGGAGCAGCTTTTCCAAAAACAGAGGAGGGTTAGTGCCACGATTAAACAGTAATGATCTTACGAAATCTAATATTTTTGTGTAACTCACATTCTTTTAACTCACACCTTTCAAGTCACTCTCTTTGTGTCTTTATTTTTTCAGTTGGAGCGACAATGTCATGACCTTCATAGCGAACATCAGGTGAGTCGACTGGAGAACGTTAAGCTCAAAATGACCAACGAGGAGCTGTCTTGTGAACTTGAGCACACCTGCCAGGAGCTAGTGTTGGCTCAGGAGCAGCTGGGCATTCTGCAGGAGCAGGCCTCTCGACTACAGCAGGAAAGAGAGATGTTAGTATGTGCATTTATTACATACACACTCAGATCCCACCTGTGTCTAGAGTTTCTCATAAACACAAATACTTTTTCCCCTCACAGGGAGATGTACAGAATCACAGAAGGCTTGCAGAGAGAAAAACAGAGCTTGATGAAACAGTTGGATCTACTCAGGTGAGCTTAGTATATGCTCACATATGTTGTAGATAATGACAAACAACAAAAATCTTAAATCAAATGTTCTTTCAGAGAAATGAATAAACATCTACGAGATGAGCGAGACATTAACTTTCTGGTAAGTTTACCAATTTTAAATTATTTTTTATGTTTATATTTTCCATTTCTAAAATGATGTGGAAAATATAGCCTAAATGACAAAACACAACAAAATTACAAAAAAATGTATATAAAATAGTTTATTTTTTCTTCTTTTGTTTTTTTATTTATTTTTTATTTATGTCCATTCAGTTTTATTGTAGTTTTAGTAATTTTAGTACATCATAGTACATTTATTTGATTTCAATTAAAGTAAATGTTTATATTTTTTAGTTTTAACAACACTAATTTATGCTGATCATGATCTTAAAAACGTTTTGATCTAAAGCCTGATGCTTAAACATTTGAAACACATTTGAAATTAATTTAGCAGGCACATATCAATTGTATCTACATATCAAATTCTATATAAAACGAACATTTTATATATATATATACATATACAGTATATATTAATATGGTTCATTTTAGTTTAGTTTAAAGAAGCTTATTTTTTGTTCATAAAATAATTCCCATATTTCCAGTTGTGTTTTTTCATAATTTTGATGACTGTAATGTTATTCTAAAATGTGGAAAATATTAATAATGGAAAAGGAGTGGGTGTGTTAAATTTTTTGACTTTCAGTTGATACCTGTATATCTAATAAGAGCAATCAAAACAAAAAAATCTCCTTGTATTTCAAAACAGAAACGCAGTAATTCAATGAAAAAATCCTCACGCAAGCAAAGACCGAGCACATCCTCAATGAAATACACTGAGGGAAAACCATCTGTCAAAAAGTGAGAAATCCTCACATATATTTTCTTAGAATACCTAAATATATGATTTATTGACATGGAAACATTTATTCTCTCACCTCTCTTTCTGTCATTTTAGAGAAGTTGATAAAGAGGAAGTTACTCAGCGTTCTAACAGGAAGACCTCCTCTCTAGCAAACGGTCTATGTTCACCCTTCAGCACAGGGCATGATGGGAAGCCAGAGGTGGATGGGCGATCTGAAAAAGTAGCTGGGGACTCAGAAGGTGTAAATGACAGAGTGGATGTAGAGGATGCACCACCGGATGGATGGCCTCTACGCAGAGTCATATCCATCGAGGAGGATCACCTCCCACACCTGCTGCAAGGAGACCCTCACCTTCTCCTCCATCAGCTAAGTGAAGAAGAAGAAGAGTGGGGCAAAGAAGAAGGTCAGGTCAGTCTGACCAAGTCAAGCTCCCTGTACCCGTCCAATGCATCCCTGGCCTCTGCTGACTCTCCACCACCAGTTAGAGTGAAGAAGCCGTCTAAGAAGAAATGGATCAGAGGAAACATGCCCTCATCTGCACGGGGTCAGCCAGTCGGAAAGGAGACCCTCCAGCAGGCAAGTGAACCCTCAAAGATGTTGATTACCATAACAGAAGTGATTAACATATAGAAATCTTAAAGATACAGTAACAAAAAGTTGTTTTTACTCTACATCACCTTATTCAACACAGTAAGCAGAGATTAATAGTAGTTTGCTGTATTTGATAGGAAGCAAACTTGATGTTCTACGAGTGCAGTGTTTATACTGGAGCTAATGTGCTGGAGGCCATGATTCATCTGGCCAGGTAAGAGCTCAAAAAACACAATGAATGCAACATGTTATCAAACATTGTCATATTTTGTTTAGCTGTGATGTTTGTAACACCTCAGTCAGCCCTGCAAGTGCAACCCACAAAAAAGAGAGTTATAAAACTGAGACAGCTAACCGACAGTAAACATTATCAGATGTCAACCAGAAAGCTTGCGGTTTTCTTTTTAATTGTTAAAGTGTGATCAAATATGCGACTTCACAGATTGTGCGAACCTTATGCAGCTTATTTACTTTGACAGGCCCAGTTTTTCTCAGTAACTCCACTATAATCAGACACTTTCAGTTGTTGAATAAATTAAATATGGGAGTGAAACGTGTGCGAATAGAGTATTTGTACAACCAAAAAATATTTAGAAAATATATAAATTTATACTTTTTTATGTATGTAATTTTATACATAAATGCATTTAATATTTAATATTATCCATTTAAAATAAAAATTAATTTCTATTTATTTTTATATTATTTATAAGTATTTTAATGATTACTTATATGTAATTGCAACTTGTTTATTGCTTTTTATTATTTTGTTTATTATTTATTTTTTTCATTTTTATTGTTGATATATTTTTTATAAGTATTTTAATTAATATGCTTTAAGGGTCCTGAGGGAGCTGGAAGACAGAGTATGGGTAAACACGGTCAGACTGGTGGATCAACCTTTAAAGAAGAAAGCCTGCTGCAAGTGACCACACACACACACCAAAAAACGCACGGGTGAAATCACTTTAAGCTTTACGTATCATCGTCAAACCCCATTATACTCAATGTAAATAATTTAATGTTGGCTGAAAGAGGACAAATTCACTTATATTTGTATCAAAAATTAATAGTGTAAAGTGTAAAAAGGTATTTCATGTCCATTTGTCAAAGAGCATTGTATATCTGTGCACATCTGATGTGTGTCTCCAATTGTAGATGAAGTATATTATAGATTCTCAGGACAGTTTATCACCTCATTTAAATTATCTTTATACATATTCTATTTGTTAACGATACCAATTGTCAATCACAATACATTTATTGAGAAAATGTGTTCAGTCAAGCTGCATGTGACCAACTTATCCGTTATCCCATACAACCAAGTGAGTGAGAGCAAAGTAATTCAGGAGAAAATGTGATTGTTTGTTACTTCCCATTTATTTAGCAATGCAATAGCCTCATTCAACTCACCTGAAGTCTTGCTAGCATCATGAAGCCTGGATTTCAAACTGGCCAGGAAAACCTCATTGCATGAACAAGAAGTGTTTCAGTTACCATTCGCAGAGACAGTTCAGTTGATGACAACAACATGAAGCACCGAAATCTTCAAATATATTATTGAGGGAAGAACATTGTCTGGATTCATAATCAAACATGTTGAGCCTCATTCGTTGTCTTCATCTGAACTGCTCTGGGATCATTTTACACAAAAGTTGTATGTGACAATGCCTTGACAATTGACCAAGAACACAAAACCAAAAATATTCTTAAGTTAAAACTGTCACATTATGTTACACTAAAATAACAAATCTTGTAGGTCCTGTTTTTGATAAGAATGATTTAAAATAGTGTAGCTGCTCTTAGAGGACCTTTAGAAAAATCTTAGTGAAACCTGAATGAATTCAAATAAAGCAAAGGCAGAAAACATGCCAGTGGTCACTATATTAAACAACTCAACACTAACCCAATAAATATAACACAATAAAAGCACTTGAATATAAGCAAAACATCAAAAATGAAGTGAAAAAATGCCATTCATGCTCTTTTCATGTATGCATCCAAACTGAAGCATTTGTTCGATGAGGCACTATTGTACGATTCACATTGGCATATACTGTTCGGTAACACTTTCCTATCTTATAAGGTTAAATAAACACAAGCTTTGACATTCTCAGACTCATTAACAGTTACATTCAGAGTGATGTTTTCACAGTCTATCCTCTGTGTGCATTTAAGAACGTGACACGTGACGACACTATTGCTTTTAGTGCTGGACTGGCACTGATGACATCACCGACGGGTCCTGCACTTCAGCAGCCTCTCTGATCCAGACAGAGGCAGAGGAGAGGCACAATCCATCTCTCTGCCGAATCTCCCTGGGAAACGGTGGCCCGACTCAGGATGCAGGTCGTGTTTTACCGCATCTTGTAGTCGTGGGAGATGGCTGCGTCGCAGAGCTGTCCTTTGAAATCCAGCTCAAAAGTGAAGTCCAAGTCACGCTGGAAGAAATCAAATTTGGCTGCTTCAGTACTTTTTTTGTCATCTTCTTTCTTTTTTTCCTAAACCAGTGGTTTTCAACCAGAGGTCCGGGACCCACTTGGGGGCCTCAGCACACTTCCAAGTGGGGCACAAGATAGCTTAAAGATTAAGATGTATTTCTTGGAAATGTATAAACCCTTGATCGGAATCAGAATAAATATACATTTTTCTAATTATGTCAAGTTATTCAAATTGTTTTATCTTGGAGAAACTGCTATTTGCACACTGGCTTAATATGATTTAAAATGAGACAAAACAAGTTAAATTTTAAAGCTAAAGCTATTTTTTAAATATAATCTTTTAATTTGTTATACTGTATGAGAAAATTTAATTTTTAAAAAAGATTTAAAATTTTAAAAAGTCATGGTTAATTTGTTATATACATTTTTGATATTTAATGCGTCTTCACTGTCAAACAGATCACAAACTTGCTCATGAAAATGAGGATTTTATTGCTCATAGTTTGCTCTTTTAGAGAAAACGTTCTTAAATGAGACAAACTTAAATATATTAACTTCATTTCAGATGTTTCTCCAAGACAAAAGAGACAATTGTTGAAGTAATGAAAGACTATAGAGTTACGGATATGGAAATATATATAGCATAGATCAGATATTTTGAGAATTAATATTAAGATCTATGATTATTATTAAACTTTGATATCTAGATCAAATTTAGCACAATTTGAAACACATTCAATCACGTTTACACACTGTCTCCGAAACTTACGTCCGTCATAAAAACAATTCGGATCAGGTTCGATTTTCTGCATTTTCGCATCCGTAGCAAGCATTTTGATAGGAAAATATGACGAACACGAAAAAACGCATATGAACATTTCGGAGTTAGTGTGCAAGGATCTTTAAAATGATTTAAAATGCGAAACAAAAAGCTAGAAATAAGCTATATGAATAAATGAAGATGTATTTCTTATTTTAATATACTTTGTGAGAAAATTTAAAATTGTGATTTTCTTGACCTGAAAAACTCATGGAAATTAATAAAAATCTTTAAAAAATCATGGAAAATTTTTGTAATAAATATAAACTTTTTATCAGTTGTCATTTTATTGGGTAGAAATTGCTATTTGCAAGATGGCTTAAAATTATTTAAAATAAGTAGCTAAAATAAAGATGTATTTCTTTTTTTAGTTCCTTATTTGAGAGAATTTTAAAAGTGTGATTTCTAGACCTGAAAAAGTAATGAAAATGTGTCAAATATTAAAAAGTCATGGAAAATCTAATAATAAAGCATATATTTATTTTTGTTATTTCAAGTTCCAAGTAGAAATTGCTACTTGTGAATGGAATATAATAAAGACAATATTATCTAAAACTTTTAGATAGTATGTCCATATAAATAATACATTTAAATAATAAAATATAAATAAATATTATGAATTTAATCTCATTCCTTTTTAGGAGAAATAATTGAGATACTAAAGAAATCTCATTTGTGTTTTTTCCTTCCTACTGTATAGCATGAGACACTTTATTAAAACAAAATATATGCCTTCAAATTATCCCATGAAGACTCATTTGTGTTAGCTAATTTAAATGAATGATTGGTGTTTGTGCATGTATTGAGATGAACACACGTTACCACGCTGTCATCAGGCGCTCTTTACTGCAAATTATTCTGTTATGTAACACCCACGCTACATGTGTTCCAAAGTAGCCTATCACGCAGTCAATCAGTACCATGATTCAGTTCAGATCTTGCTCACATATACACACATATAGATCATATACCCGTACCTTAATGAGGCAGGAGTTGGTCACGACTTGTTTAGGATCTACTATGTCCACCAGGGGCTCCATCATAGCAACGTTCCGAATGCACGTCATGTCAAAACCATAGACGTTCTCCCACCCTGCAAGCACAGAGAAAATATATTTTTAAGACATTTTAAACCTCTGAAAAGTAGAAAATCTGTCTGGCTGTGTCTGGTCGTCTTCATTTGGCCCTAAAATAGACTCCTGCCTCCTCTGTGTCTGGCAGCATTCGATTACATCCCCTCACATGAGCGTTAGGCCGAAGCCAATCTCACACTTCCATCCAAAACAAGGAGGAGGGAGTGAAAGGGATGGAGAAAAAGCAAACCTCTTGCTGCGGGGGAGTAATGGAACCCAACAGGAATTTTTCCTAGTGTTTTTCTTTTCTTTCTTAAGCTAAATAAGTGTGGGATCCAAAACGAGACACGGATCAAGCCACATTGCAGAACTAGAAAGAGATACGATACAGTATTAAATGCTCATTTAATATAGTACCTGTTGACTCTTGGCAAGTCTATGTATATGTGTGTGTGTGTGTGTGTGTGTGTACTCACAATGGATTTTGAAGTCTTTGTATTGCCGATCCTCAATGGCAACCACATACAATGTCGCTCTGTCTGGAAACATGAAACCACCAGGTTTCTGAAAAATGACAGGAAAGAGAATCTACAGATCTCCCATCTGAAAAAGATTTATGGGTAGTTGACGTATGTCCAATTTACTTTTGTATTTTTAAATTAGTATTTAAAAATACAAAATTCACTTATTATTATTATTAGTATTAGTAGTAGTAGTAGTAAAAAATTGATAGGTCATAAATAAAAGCTCCTAAAACACAATACAATATAATAATAATATAATATAATATAATATAATAATTATTATCTTTATTGTTATAATCAATATGTCATAAATTGACAATGTAATTTAAAAATTCTAATTTAAAAATATAAGTTCAACTATTATTAGTAGTAGTATACATAATAGGTCATAAAACATAATATAATATAATATTTGAGTAATTATAAAAATATTATTTTAAAATCTTTTAAATATTCTGAATTAGAATTTGTCGAAATATTATCATTATAAATAAAATGAGGTCATAAATCAACATATAATGTAATATAATAATCATTATTATAATAAGTATCTAAATTAAACAATCTATAATTATTATCTAAAATCCTTTAAATAGTTTTAATATTTTTAATATATTATCACTATAAATAATATGAATATAATATAATAATTATTATCTAAATTAGATGGAAATCTTTTATTAATATCTAATCTTTTAAATGGTTTTAGATTAATTATATCTTGTCACACCACAGGACACTGCTGAAACTACCCTCATAAAATATTTTAATCTTCAAAAACATGTTCCTGGCATATGCGTGATTATATTCCTATTATTCCAGTGACTTCACATCATTCTTTCTTTTCCTTCCTGTTCAATGCACCATAAAAATAACCCTAGGGTGAAACAATGCCCTGGAACTAACACAATGGTTCCATAAAAATGTCTAACAAGCCACTTGTCCTCTGGACCAAATTGTCATTCAGTGGTAGACATTCATCAGCAGCCCAATGACTAGCCACTCATTCCCATTATAAATGATAATTTTCAGCATGGACACATGCTTCACATTCTAATTAGTCACATAACCTTGGCCTTGAGACAGCCAACACACACACACTGACCAGCCATTTGTCCCTAGCGTAGATGACAGTATTGAGCATAGACTCGTAGAAAAGACAGTAGCCCATCCACTCTGAAATAATGATGTCCACCTGATCCACCGGCAGTTCAGTCTCCTCCACCTTCCCTTTAATGATGGTGATAACTGCAAAATGCACAGAAAAATGCAAGAATGTAAATTCATGAGCTGATTTTGTTTTATTTAATGTACAATTAAATATGAAATATATTATATTTTATTCTAAAATATATTTATAACAATAAAGTGATAATTTTAGGTACAATAAAATTTCCAGTTTTGCTTTATTACTAATTCCTAATGGATAAAATCAAGTCTCGCCCCACATTTTTTGTTTTACTCATAAATGTGTCAATATGATGTAATATTTAATAATTATTATAATTAATATCGAAACGAGATAATCTATAATTATTATGTAAAATCTTTTAAATAGTTTTTACATTTACATTTTTAAAAGTTCAAATATTATTGGTAGTATCAATAATATATATATATATATATAAAATACAACACATAATATAATATTTTATTAATTATTATAATTACTGTCTAAATTAGATGACTTAATTCAATTTAATTTACAATTAAATATGAAATATATTTATATAGTAAATACAATTATTATTGAATGTATTTGCATATTAAATACAATGTATATGTTATTCTAAATATATTTATAACAACAACATTTCTGTACATTATTTCCTAATGGATAAAATCAAGTCTTACCCCACATTTTTTGTTTCACTCATAAATGTGTCACATTACAGAAATCAAATGGGTTACATGCAAACCCAGTATTAAGTCATAAAAAAATAATAACCATAAAGACAAAATAAAGCTATTGTCACGGAACTGCTGCTGTGTAGGAGCACGGAGCAAAGGAGCGAGGAGAATTTTACTAATTTTAATAATCAAAAGGAAACAGAAAAACACACGTAGCAAGGTTGAGCCATGGCG